GTAAATTGAAGGTTGAATCAGAATGTTAACGGTTGCAGAAGCAGTTAAGAAAGGCAGACATGAGATTGCAGGAGTTGCAAAGGAGAATGGAAAATGCAGAGGAGGCCTACCGTCATCTGTGGGACGAGACAACCGACGGATTGAAGTTGCGGTTGGAGAAGTGTCTGAACGGATTCGCGATGTGGGGATTGCAAACGGTGAAGTGGCTGAAGTTAGATTCGCTCGAGTGGCGGTTGATGAGCGCCAAGACCAGCGGATCCGCCGGACACAAACATATTGTAATGTATTGTTAGAGGAATTGAATGAGGCGCATCAGAATGTAGAAGTAGAGATTGTAAACGTGTTGCGTATGATAGGAGTAGATGTAAGTTCAGATGACACCGTAACCGTTACATCGGACGACACAACCCTTGAGATCGATTCGCCTCAGGCGGTTGATATCCAGAGTTGTAATTGTGAATAAAGAGACCCAATGCTCTTTCTTTGGAGAACTTTTCTATTAATTGGCTTGTCTTGACCGTAAACCTGTATCCACTATGTCTATGTGCTGGTGTGTGATCTAGACGTTGAGCACGATGCGCTCCTGTTTGTCGAAGTTACCGCATCAAGAGTTGTGTGTATTCGGCTTGAATGTTCTGAGTAGTCGATGCTCCTTGAGGTTTAAGCAAGTTCAAGTTTGAGTATTCGGGTCAGTGTGTTGGGATGTATGCAATGCTAGGAAGTTTACCCCCTGGAATATAAGTATGGAATTGCAAGCAATTTCTACATGCGTTGTTTGGAAAAGTTCCAGGCTGTGAGTGTGGTTATGCACTACTCTGCGGGTCTTCGGCTCTAGCTGGGTAGTGTCTTCTGGGAGTGGCATCAGCCTAAGAAGTGAAACTCTTTAATAGAATGTTATTCTGTGACAATCGTGACTTTGGTGGTTGTTTCTGTCCTCGTGGTATCGGATCTGTAGCATTATGCTCCCTTTTGATATTTATCTATCATTACAACACAAGACGTAATGAATCTTCATTGTGCTAGCCGGAGTGCTCTACATTTGGTTAGGAACTAAGTTATGTACTATATATTGAAGCACAACGACATTAGATATTTTTATCAGACAAGCAAGGTATGATAAAATGATTGAGCTAGTCAAGATTGACGATGACTCTCATGATTGAGCTAGTCAAGATAGACGGAAATTTACATGATTAAACTAATCAAAATTGATGGTGATTTTCAGGATTGAGCTAGTCAAGATTGACGGTGATTCTCATGAATGAGCTAGTCAAGATTGACGGTAAACTTTCATGATTGAACTAGTCAAGATTGATTTTTAACTTTGATAAAATTATTGAGTTTGTCAAGATTGACGGAAAACTTAATCCAATTGATGCTTTGACCAAAATTATTTCTTTGGAGAGTTTCAAGCTACACTGCGCTACTATGTTGGTTGTGCATGGAGAGCACATGTAGAGTTTGCTAACATAATATTTTCAGATTTGTATCTCTTTAGATTTGAAATCTCCTAAAAGAGTAAATTTATGATACTTCTATGCTAACAGGTATATTAATTAATTGTTTATATTATTATTCTATCATATTATGGCTACGTCTTAGTTCTAGTTAACTCTCTAGTAAAAAGACGCCTTGTAATAGATTTCTCTAAGACCTTCCGGTGAATACTTATATAGGTTACGAAGATGATTGTTTCCGTAACACGAATTAAGGGGTAGATTGTTGAGATTAACTTCGGTTAAGTTGTAACCTTGGATTTTAGCTATATATAGCTAGGTTGGTCGTTGGTGTAAGCTATATATATTCAAAGTTTCTGCACTGTATCATTGTTGTTTTTCACTATGGCAGTATACTCTTTCATGTGCTTTCCACGTGGACGTAGTCCTCGGAAGAATGAACTACAATACGATTGCGTGTACTTGTGTTTTTAAATTTGACTGTCTGGTTATCATTGTCTTTCATATTTTGAAATGAAAAATATAAAAGATTTTTAATATATATTATAAATTGTATCTTCAAATATAGATGACTTTAAACTAAATATAGTATTTTTATTGCTAAATTGATAACTTTGTCCTAATCAAAATTTATAATTATTATTATTTTCAAAAAAATAAATACTAAATTTTTTTGTTTCATTTCAATGAAATTAAGTCTAGTGATCAATAGTCTTTTATTTATTTTTATTTTGAATAGGATTTCAATGTTTTTGATTATTTTTTGTAAGTTTTTTTATTAAGATAAAATTATATTGGCATAAAATTTTAAAAAATATTCAATAATAGATTTTTTTTAAACAATAATGTCATATACATATATATATATATATGTAGAATTTTTCATTCCAATCTGTTTGCAGCCATTTGTAAAAAAAATATTTATGATACATTTTCATGAAATTTTTATTTAATAAAATTTGGATTAAATTTTAAATAGGATGAATTTTATCATGTGTCATTTTTTGGTTTATAATTGATTTTGAGTCAAGATTCATGATAGATAGCATACTATTAGAAATTTATAATAGAAAAATTTGAATTTAAATCATTGATGATGATATCATTTAATTGATCATTAAGTGATAAGTAATAATTAATTAAGTAATTGTGCAAGTCTTGCTTACATTTGACACACGATGATGTTATTTAATTTTATTAAGATTGATGATGTCATTTTTATACAAGGATTAAATTTTGCAATTGAAAATTTATAACCTCATGAAAAAATTAATCTATTGTTGGAGATTTTGATTCAAATATCATTATTAAAAAGAAAAAAAAAGGATAAATGCTAGAGTTTTTAATTTCATTATTTAATATTCATGTAACTAGAGACAAATGTGATGTTCATAAGCTCAAGATTGATTTTTTATTTTAAAATCAAACATTCAATCATAACAAAGATTTTAGTAATATTTGAATGTCTGAAATAATTTGAAAGATGTTGAATTATGATTAAAACCCTATTGTATTCAAATAAATACACATCGGTAAATACATTAGTTTACTTCTTGTATGCAGCGAATATGAAATTCGGGACAACATCAATACTAGCTATTGATCTAATTTCATGAGTTTTTATGTTAAACTCTCGACAATAAGTTTCAATTATTCTTGGGTTACAACAAGAATATTAAATTTCCATTCATGAAATATTCTTGTTGTAACCCAAGAATAATGTAAATCATTATAGATTCAGTATTTTTCATATGATGGTTTGGCGATTATCGTTTATAGTGTTTTGAATTGCTTTGCATGCATATAATTCTCCAGGGTTGATATTGGAAAAAATTATAGTTAAAGAATATTAGATTAGATTTGAGAATATGTAAATAATTCAATTTGGAATTGGTCTAAAATAAATTTAATAGATGTGTTGGGAGTGGTAGGATCTAATTACCCACAATTGGGAAGATTTGACACTTAGATTTTGAAATTGTGACGATGAGTGATTTCGAAATAAAAAAGTAAGGAAAAAAATACAAATAAAAAAAGTTGTGAAATGATCGTGTAATTATGCTCTGAATAGAGGAAACAAAAGAAAAAAGAAAAAAAAGAAGTGGTATTTTGACTTAATTTCTATTCAGGAAGGATTCTTGCGGAGAGATAATGTGAAACCTTATCGGAAATAAAGAAAATTCGGAGAAGTTGTTAGTTTTATTTTTGATTCGGCTACATGGGGAGGTTACGATTTTTTACCAAAGGATAATTTAAAGACTTAGGGATTTTTATTTTTTTCCGAAATGGCTGGTTGCGGCACCGGGACTTCCCGGGAGGTCACCCATCCCAGTACTATTCAGGCCCAAGGGAGCTTAACTGCAGAGTTCTGGTGTAGTAGCCCTGGTATGACCGCATCACGTCAAGGAAGGAGTTTCCGGTGTAGATGAAGAGGGCAAGGTGCGGCCAAAGGTTCCGCCAAACCCGTCCGACCAGAAAGGAAGTTTAGGGTTAGGAAAGCCCGTTAGCCAGACAGAACTTGCCAAGACCCCGCCAAGACAAAGCTGGTAAGGTTGACGAGGCCTTCGTCTTCTCTTTCTTTAGTGCGCATCTTGGTCTCCAGTGTTGAGTTAGTATGACCAAAAATTTGGTCAACTATTCGCAATTTTTTTGTCAACTTTTTGTCAAGCACATTGAGGTTTCAGAAGAACTCTACGTAGCATAACGATGCGATTTTGATTAGCAAAGCGCTTTTAAATTACTATATCCTTGTAGACTTTACAACCGCCTCCACATATCTGATCACATTTCTTTACTCTACTATATTTTTTTGCGCATTTGCAACCCTGATTTGCCCAAATCGGATTTGCTCTGTCTCGAAAGCGCGCATGTTTGCTTCTCGCCATGAATCAGTTCACGACGGGCCTCGTCAAAATCTCCTATGGTATTTCCTTCCTCCCCTCTATGCTTTCCCCTTCGAGCGCCCAGATGCTTTGCAACTATTGGCATGCACGAGAGTTTCTTGTGACCCGCCGTAACGTATATAACGTTTTGCACTTTGGCCATGGTTACACGCTGCTCATAGATATGAGCAGCGTGTAACCTTCAACGGAACGAAAATGCAAAGCAGGATAACTTTAATGAGCCATGGCAATTCCGTGTACTATCTAAAGAGTGGCCGGAATATCTCAGTATACAAAAGTGAAACTACAACAGCGATACACAACATGATAAGCCATGTTTTGTTGGAGGAAAAAATGTAAAGTGAACAGGAGAAGGGCTTTAAGAAAGGATTTAGTAAAGAGATGGACATAAAATGACGCATATCCCGCTAATTGCTTTCTTTGTGGACTTTCCGTACCTTCAAATAGTTCAATTTATGGTTCCTCTAGATTCTCGGACATTTTCAGGTTCCTCCTTAAGATAGTATTTACTTGGGGTCTTTGGAGGGTTTCCTAAATAGAAAATCTCCTGTTCCCGACTCAGGGTTTAGGGTTTACGCAACAGTTTTCCCCTCGTTTACGTTCTCGTCTACGATCTTAGTTGTCCTATTGTTCTCGTAGCGTCTTTGTAGGACGAAACAGCGAGCGTTCTTAACCGCTTACATAGATGGCTTTCATCCAGTGTCCAATGCCGTGATTGTGTCTTGACGTATCTTGGTCAAGGTTCTCCGTTTATTCCCTCGCCAGATCGGGCAGTGGAGTCGCCTTCGGATAGTCAAATATGATGGAGCAGTGACATGACATGTCGGGTGGGAGACCAATTCTTTTCAAGTGTGGATAACGACCTGTTTGGGACACATGCCCGAAATACGAGGAGAATTGAGTACAGACAGGTAGTTCCGCTCAATGATGGGATTCAGTCTAAAGTTGATTGCCTTCGGAAAACCTGTTGCTTACAAATTAGTTCATCTCTTTCAGAGATCCTTTGATATCTTTGAGCTCTACCTGTACTCTAATCAGAATCTTTGACTCGGCAGTCACCGAAATTTTGTCGGTGGATTTCGTTCTCTTGGACCTGTGCGCGAGGCGCTTAACGGAATGCATCGAAGCATGATGTGCTACCGCCATTGTTCTCTGAGTATTGATCTGCCTGATCTGGTCCAAGTTATCTCTGCCTTCTGATCTAGATTAAGCGAAGGCTTTCATTCCATGTGGTTTTCGTTACCCATTCCCTAAGTTCGTTTGCTTATGAATCCTCTTGAAATTCTCACTGTCAGCTTGTGAACATCTGTTTACTCAAACGTAGACGTGCCAATTTAGGGTAGTGATCGAGGCAGAGGAGTAATGAGTTGCAAGATTTTAAGTCTTCAGTTCCGGAAAGATCTGTTTTGCATTGCAGAGCACCAGCTTTTAGATCACCAGCGAATTTTCGTATATGTAGTTGTCCTGCTGTAATCAAGACTCGATGTTTCAGTACTGTTTATCTACTTCTGTTGTTCTCGCCATCTACACCGATTTCATGTTTCCAAGATGTCCTACGAATTAAAGATTTCACTGAAGGAAATGTACCTATCGGAACTGTTGGATTTACATGCTTATTTAGGTTTCTTTGTTCGCTTTTGAAATGAACGAGCGCACGCGAAATTTTGTTTTATACGAGTGCATTCTTCGAATGCTCGCAGTTGCTTGGACTTCTGATGTGTTGACTTGTGAATTGGAGGACGTTCAGTTTGAGTTAAGGACGTCACAGTAGTTGTTAAACTTCAATGAATCTTCCGAACGCAGATATCTATCACAGTTTCCAATGTAGCTCCTACAAAGTTCATGTGTTCCAAATGCATGTCAGCTCTCTTTCCTTGTCCTCCGAATGACGATCTCAACTTGTGTGCTTTCCTCTTTCCTGATAAAGTCTCGCGAATTTGTTCGAACGAACAAGATGATGTGTATTCTGCAAGTGTATATTATATATCATTATCAGTTTACTGATTCTTGTTTGTTTCTGCGAGTTGATCCATACTGCAGGAGCCTGTAACGGCGACGGAGGTTTCTGAGTTTGAATTCACTGGAAGGTTTGAGCGTAACGACTTTTCCAAGGGAGTGATGGCTCTTTCTATACCTGACACTGAAGGTCTGTCCGAAGATAGTGAGCTGAAAGAGTTCAAAGTTTCCCCGGCGATGCCCCCTGTAGATGCGTCCAAATCCCGATTCCCATACTGTGTGGTTTGGACTCCGCTGCCAGTCGTCGCTTGGCTTGCTCCATTTGTTGGCCATGTAGGAATTTGCAGAGAAGATGGTGTAATACTTGACTTTGCGGGTCCATTCTTCGTTAATGTGGACAATTTCGCTTTCGGTTCTACCGCAAGATACGTCCGCCTCGATATCGATAAGGTCCGTACACTCCTTGAATGACTTGATTCATTCCGTCTTTGGTCGTGTCGCATTAATTTCCAGTCGATTATGTGCTCGAAGCAAACAACAATGAATATCAGAATAGCGGCTGTTCTTTCGCTTATCAGTAGAACATTTACCTTTTGCTGTGGATTTGGAGGCAGATTGATTTTGCTTCGCAGTGGTTTCGTCTTTGTCTTGGAATGGTCGGATAAGTGGGTTATATTCGCAGTGGGTTTCTACAGATATGTGTAGCTACCATACAAAAGGCTCAGATGTTTATGTGTGTGTGCAGTGTTGTTTCCCTCCTCATCTATCTGGACACACCTGCGAGAATGGTTTTGCCCATTCGGAGCTGGGAACTGGTATATCGTGGGACGATGCGTTGCGCATGGGCATGCACAACTATCAGCATAAATCTTACAACCTTTTTACATGCAACTGTCATTCATTCACAGCGAGCTGCATGAATCGACTCGCTTATAAAGGTTCTATCCGATGGAATATTATAGATATTGCAGTGTTGGTGTTACTGAAAGGTCGGTGGGTCAATTCCGCCGCGATTCTGAGATCCTTTGGACCTTTCTTTGTGGTTATGGCTGTTGGTCTCCTCATTGCTGGATGGCCTTTCCTTATAGGCTGGGCTGCTTTCTCTGGTCTCTTGGTTGCTTGGTTCTTAATAGCGACGTATTGCATGAGTGATGTTATTCACTGCTGAACAGTAATTGACTGGATTCGGTGGAACCAGTGCATTGTATAGGTACTTCCGAGTAGAGGGCTTACTGAAGAGCCCTTTGGAAACAACATTCTGTCTTGCTATCTTCACTACTCTCAGTGAAGAAGTACATTGTAGGTTTATTGCGTAAAGATTGAGTGGCGCTTTGTGATATTCAGGGCAGTTTCATGGCTAGTTTTGTTCTCAACACCTTAGTCTCATCCAGATACTTAACCATCTGTCTGGATGGGAACGGGGTCCATGTGGATAACAAAAAAAGGATGGGAAAGACCCCGTGGATATGAGGTTGTCTTCTTCTTTTGAAATGTAAAGTGTCAGCGCTCCGTCACTACTGGGAATATAAAGGACCCAGTGATGATACCTTTTGATACCTTTTTTCCCGGTCGAGGGTTCACGAGTGAATTTTGTTCTCAATAGTGTTAAGCATTTATAGACCCTGATTTGCGCTATGAAAGATCAAACATAGACCTGAGGACATAACTGTGATCAGGTTGCATAAACTGATAAGACCTGAAGGTGAGAAAACTCTGGGTAACGGTTCAAAATGAAGAAATACTTACTTTCAAGTATTCACACTGGGTTCATTGGTTACTTCTTTTCTAAGTTCATTATATATATATTGTTATATAATTATTGTATCCCCTTGATGGATACGATTCCTGAAAAGACCTCATGGACGAAGGTGTGGAATCAGAGATCTACCCCCGACCGCTACACTTTCGTTTGAGAATCTCAGTGAACGCCGGAAATTTCAGACCGAAGAATGCAGCTCATGGCTGGCGCGAATTCTAGGATTTTGGCAACTATGTTCTAAAGATGCCTGATAGTGGCCCCTTTGTATGTGCCAAGGATGAGGGAGAAGAAAAGTATTGCTCATTAAACCTCTTAATAACTCGGATTCTTAAATCCTGGGAGAACGAACAGCACACAAAGGATGTTATCAAAATGGCAACATCTGCCACTCCGTAGAGTTCGTCTCATGCGTCGTAATTATAAATACTATGTGATGCTCGAGGCTTAAGGAAGGAGAGAGGGATGTCTTTGGTGCCAGTCCTTAATCGCCCGAAGGTCAGATACATTGCTCATTACATCGCGTGCATTTGTAATCAAATCGCTCTGCAATATGCCAAAGGATTGGTGCCCATGATCTAGACCGCATGAACGGCGATGAAGATGACGGGATAGGGTGCTGTTGTTGAGCTTACAGTTCGGATAGAATATTCTCCCCTGCTTGTCCTGCTCAGCACGGGATGTGCGGACTGAGGAAGGGTCGATGTTCTGAGAGGAAATTTTGCTGCAGTCAAACTGAGTTGCTCACATATGTGCCCTTGAAGGTTGTCGCTCTGTGTTGTAGGCAGAGCAGCCTCTATCGGAATACATGTACCCCAGATTTATCTTGTATATAGCCAATGTCAGTCGTCAGCCGGTCTAACCGTAACCTTGGCCTAATCAGGCGCCTGCGTCGAGGAAGGCGACAGTGTCCGAATTCTTGTTCAGTTAATGCCAACGATCTCGTTGCACATTACGGTGGTGTGGAAATTGTTTCTGTGCCGTATTCCCTAGAACAGATAACATGGAGGTTTCTGCATGCTGGGTGACAACAGTTAGTCTTCCGATCAGAGTGAACTTTCAGGGGACGAAGAGGAAAAGTACAGTGGCCATTGCACCGTCAAAGATGAACGTTCACGTCGTGCAAAGCACCTATCATCAGAAGCCAGGAACTAAAGTAAGTGAACCGGGATCTAATCAATCCACTAGTATGTGAAGTGGTATCAGCTTCTCAGGCGTGTCCTCTTGTAGATCATATTTTATAAATTCTCTCAATTCGCTGAGGTACTAGCATTTCGCTCCCCTCTTCAATCTCATCAGTGATGTGATGCGATGTGAGTCCAGTTTATGGCATTAAAAATTGTTGCTGCAGTTCTTATCAGGAATAAAATCTACCGCTTCTCTGGCCGGAGAGGGGAATTATAACCGTATCGAAGATGGAGATATCCCAAAAGTGGACAGCTGGAAGTGGTCTATGGTTGTATCCTACGATGGAAGCAAATACTCAGGTTTTGGAAAGATTTTACAGCTACATCGTTTCTCTGTAGATTGTGGGTTCAGATATGGTAGTGTGATCAGCCTGGACGTCGAACGGTAGATGTTTAAGTAGGTTATGAGTCACTATGTTCGGACAAAGGCAGGTTTGACGAGTATTTGTGTCTGATGAGATAAACCGGATCTATGCGCAGGTTGGCAAATACAGCCAAAAAACATCACAGTACAGAAGACCCTTGAGGATGCTCTCTTTCAGATAACGAGATGTTCTCGTGAAAATTTGGCTCTCACGGCAGCTGGTCGTACGGATGCTGGTGTTCATGCCTGGGGTCAGGTGAGTAGTCGCTTTTACGATTTCCGGGATCTTCATTGTCATTTTAAAAAACAAGCGTTCAAGCGGCCGTGTTTTAGGCCAGTTCACGGTGGGCTTGATTCTCCATAATCATCATCTCTTAGCCTCCAAGTCAAGGGGTTTTTAGTCTCAGAAACTATTTTGAATATATGCTCTAAATTGTTATACGGAAAATGCAACAGTTTGCTGAAATATTGTTCGGGGCATCTAGGTTGTACACTTCTGCACTCCATTTATGCTGAAGAAATTGGAACCCCTACATACGTCACTGAACTCGATTTTGCCGCAAGATGTCCGGATACGAGAAATTCGAGCTGTGCAGCCTGAATTTCACGCTCGCTACTCGGCTCTTCGGAAAACGTACAAGTATAAGGCCGACTTGGGCCCTGTTATGGATCCATTCCAGCGTTCCTATGCTTATTTCTTCCCTCATGTTATTGATATGGATTCCATGCGAGAAGCAGCGTCGCTTCTAACAGGAGAGCACAACTTTTCTGCTTTCGCGAACACTTCGCTAAGGGTGCTTGATAATCCGATCAGAAATATCACCAAGTTCAGCGTTGAATCAGTGGTAGGCCATAGGCTTCTTTTTTATTTCTCCTTGATATGAAGTCAATATTAATCTGCTCGACAGAACTGTTTTTTTGTAATTTTTCGCCATTGTGAGATCTAGAACGTCTTGGAAGAGGACAGAAGGGTGGAAGGGGGACTTCGTAATTTTACGAAAAGTAGATTTGATCCATATCGGAGTCATACGCCTTATGATTTAAGAGTACCTAAGCCTCGGATTCTCAGCTGATTGGATCATTTGTGCTGATCGCTTTTTCCAGGGTCCGCAGTTGATTTTCGAAGTGGAGGGAACTGGGTTTTTCTATAAGCAAGTTCGTAACATGGTAATCCTCTTCAATGACGGTCAATTGAGCAGTCATCTCAGCACATCTGGTTTTCACAAACTGTTCAGGAATGGCCTCGATGTTAGCCAAGTGGGTAGGGTTTAGGGTATATATATATATATGTTAGGAAGAATGCATTGGAGAAAGTGTCCCCCGCCTGGAATCAGCCTATTGACAATACAATACTGACGTGTTGCAGGTCGGGCTGCTTTTGGAAATCGGAAGAGGGACCACCTCTGTTAGAGCTGTTTCTGATGTTTTGGCCTCTCAGAAAAGGGAGAAGCTCGCTGAATTTGCCCCTACTGCACCCGCACATGGTCTTTACTTGATGACCGTTCATTATGATGAAGCACTTTTCTTCCCACCAGACTCTATACCGAAAACGAGCTTGGGTTACCGTCAGATTACTAATCAGCGGGGCATGAACTCTTTCGCTATCTCAGTCTCATGAGTGACATGGTGGTCAATGCATCACCTCAAACATTTACAGTATTTCATAGGACGATTGCCCATATGAGGTGTTCTCCCTTTGACCGTCGCCTTAGACAGGCCAAAATCTCTAACCTACCATAACGAACTTACTATTTCTTGGTTGTTGGAGCTTCGAAGTATTGATGCCCAGTCGAAGTAGGTGACTGGCCTTCAGGTGACCTCCATGACTGTTGGTTAGTTCATGTCACTTTCGTACTCATGTAAAGTCATGGTCACTTATCGAGGCTTGAGTCTGTATTTTATGGTCTTCACCCATTTACGGTTCCATCACATTACCCACGAGGAAAACTGACACAGGTGTGACTGTGCAGGTGATTCTTCTCAGCCGGCTTGATTGTGCGGAACTGCAAGCTCTTATCTCAGCATTTAACGTAAATAATTCTCTGCATTACGCATAAGACGGAGGAGCTTGAACACAAAAAAGGGGCAAGGTTTTACGAGTCGAACGTGGCGAATATGCGGATATCTACTCTTGACCCTCTGTTATGTGATGCACTTGTCAGGTTTTGGCAGTTAATTGTCTGCAACAAATTTTTTAGAAAGTGCACTCCACAGAGGACGTCTTGACGCCTAGTGACGAAATGGAGTGGATCAAGTTTATTAGTTCCCCCACATTGCAGTATGTAAAGTTGTCCACTTCACTGTAAATGAATAAACGTAGTGCGTTTTCCTTACTGTATAGTTGTATTTTCAGTAATACAGTTTCAGTACTGTATATATTTTCACTGTGCTAGTTACTCAGCACACTTCCAGAGGTTTCGAGTTGCTCTGTGGAGAAGCCCAAGCTAGTGAAATCATACGTTTCCAAAGAACTACTGGATTTTGTTTCTGGAATTTATGCAAATATGTAATGATGCCTGCTAGTGGTGGACAATTCACGTCAGGAGCGGAGACGTAAAAGCCGAGTCCGGTTTGTTGCCTGTAAACAATCATGTTCAAGGTGGTATACCTCATCTTGCCGCAGTTTCAATGGGTAGACAAAATCAACAGCGTATCGGTCGGACCACGCCTTTTATGCAAAAAAAGTGGGGCCCAAGAGTTACGATTTGCGACACCCCTAAACTAAACAACGTCGTGTCTACTCACACGGACAGCGATAAAGTCAGCCATTTTATGATGGTTGTTTGTCCATCACGAGTATAAGGACTGATGGTAAGCGGAAAGCGTCAGTTTTCTAACAAGAACAAAGATGTGGTTCTCGTGGAACTGCGAACGATGTGTGATAGAGATGTAACGACCGTACCTGTGAATCAAGTCTTGGGCAGCCCTTGCTCATGAAAGACCTTTTGCCGCGGCATGCACGGAGTTTGAAGATGGTGGAAGAACTCCCGTGTAGCGTGTTCAGGTACACTGTACGTTCTCCATCCCTGCGACAATTAATTTGCAGCACCTACTGTACCTCCCGAGCGCCGTAACTCGCCGTAGGTATCGTAACAACGGGGTAGAAGTATGACTGCGATGGAGAAACAAGTGCCAGTTGACGTACAGGTTCGACGGGCTTGGAGCTCAGGGTGAAAAGGAGACATACTATTTCGCACTGGAATCAACTAATAATCGACTGGAATCGCACTGGAGCCGTAGATGTACTATTTACGCCTTCCACGCCTTTCATTTTAACCCTAGTCAAGGAGTTCCAGAACTCACCCATATCTTATTATTAAGTTTTATGGGTTATATGAAGACCGGTCCAGTTTTGTTCACTTTATCATAGGGTAGAAAAGATCACTATTTTGAATTCAGTTCTTGAGAGTAATTTATTTATCCAATATTGTCATATTCAATTTATCTATTTTAAGCTTGGGTATTTTGACCACAAGAAATTTGTTCCATCCACTTAATCAAAAGCTAATTCCATCTTATAGAATATGGAATTGGTCAGTATTTTCAACATTTATTTCCAGTTCGAACACCATTTTCAACACAAAACAATAAAATTTTATTTCCTAAATTCATATATTTTTTAGCCTTCGACTCTCATACAAAGATAATTTGTACATTTATAAGGAAATAAAATAAAATAATATAATTTGAACAACTTTGAAGTTGAAGTTATGGATTATCAACTTCAAAGTTAAAGCAAAAACTAATCACATGATCAAAGTTCAAAATTTATAAATAAATCCAAATTTATATTCCGTATTTAATACTTTGAATATGCCTACACAAATATGTGAAAGATTTTATATTTTTTTTACACATGCACTTATAATGTAGCAACATCTCTGTTTAATCCAAAATAATTTTATATGCTTTTATGATAGTATTTTTCCACATAAGTTAGTTTTTTTTACACTCCAAATTTAGCGCTACTCCTTCATTATTATTTTACCAAACTGATAAAAGCTCACAATTTTTTTATTTTAATAAATCAATTTATATGAATTAATCTGTATGTAATATTTTGAAAAAAAAGGATTCAGAATTAAGAAATCTTAGCATTTAAAATTATACTTCATTATATAAGATTAAATATTACAAATAATATTTAAATATAAAATATATTTTAAAAAATATATAAAAATGATATAAAAAAGATAATTTTTTGAAAAAATATCAATTTCCGTTAAAATAGTTTACGATGATATCTCATTCAAATAATAGAAAATGAAATTATTCATCAACGTGAAGCAAATAGTATTCATAACGACGAATTGAAGTCTGACATAAGATTTATTCACATGTAATAGATAGGCAATGCATTTCTTTCAGGTTACTTAAGGGGTTTTCGGTTTTATAGACAGCATCGAATGATTATGTGTGAAATGTAAATCGATATAGTTATTCTGTGCAGATTTTATTTAAAAAAATAATTTGTAAAACACAAATTGAACCAGTAGAGTACACTCATCCCATACACCCTTTTTTCCGGTAGTATTTATTACTTATCGCAAAGTTTATATTTTTGAAGATGAGATTTGGAGCGATGGTCACTTATTTCATAGAATGATGCGGAGCCTCTAGGGAACCATAATTATTGCAAGTGTTATCCTCTCTGGAAATCATATTTTTTTTTTCTCCCGAACATTCATATGTAAGTATCAAATGATGAGATTCCAGACCAGAGTGAATAAGAGTTATTATAAATTACTAGTCACAGTAATGTTTTTTTTGGCATGGTACGTGCTAAGATAGTTGAATTAAACAACTAACGGACTTGTCAATAGTCTATGATATTCTCATACTCCTGAAGAGGAATACCACGATGCTTGATGACCCGTTGAGTATGTGCCGTAAAACATGCAAGTAGGTGTTGAGTTGGAGCTGGGACGCAAAGGGCCTTATTTGGTCACATCTTTCCCAAGTCGGAGGTAGATCTTACTGTAGTTGTTTTTTCGAGGGACGGTAAGGATACCCGAGTATAGTACAGTACAGTGAAGAATTTCGTGGGCTTCAGCAATTCCACCGACACCCATTACAAGTCGTTCCTCCAATTCCACGCTCGGGTCGGGTTGTAACGTGGCGAATCGGGTGAATGCGAGGTCCCCGCCCTTAAATCACCCGTGATCTCGGACCATGATATAGAGTGAGGGGTCAGCTGAAAGTGTTCCCGAGGGCGAGATGCATCGGGATCCAATACAAAGCGCACACCCACAGGGAAGAGAGCTAGAGCGTATGCGAGAGAAGTTCTGGGTTAGATCTCCTCGACTTCGAGGACAGTCTTATTAGATGATGGTTCGTAATATCAGATTGCATACGGATCTGCAAGCAGGAAAAGAATGAGTAGTCGGCGAGGTGGTTTGTCGAGTGAGGGTTGGAGAATAGTTTCCTCCGGAGTAAGAATTGTGGAGCGCTAGGAAGATTTTTCTTCGACTGGTCAGAATCAGATCACATGTTCTATCAGCGAGGAAAGCTTGAACGCTCGGGAGTGGGATTTTGTATTGCAGGGTTGCCGTGTCAGCGAGAGGAAGTAGATCCACGTTGCGCTCGAACTTCGCAAGAACCTTCGGAAGCGAGCGCCAGTAATCTTACATCGTGATATATCCGGCTGAAGGCAAGAAAGACGGAAATCAGCTCAGGGTAGGACTCGGAGTCCAATTGTAAGAGAAGTGGCATGTCTGTCTCAGTAGGATGTGTACTCTGGGCCAGATGTATGTGTTGCAGGCCTCCACGTTCAGTCAGTAAAATTCAAGAGGGCGCCTTCAAGTTGTCTCACCGCAGATGCTGATCTCGCTAAGTACAAGCGGACATTTACTGGAGACTTGGCCATTCATCTCTACGTTTCATGATCAATGGGCAATAATCAAAAGAAAGATTGGCATACAACCCAGTAACTTCCGTAAAATTGGCTGCAGAAATCAACCCAATGGTTGTCACCAGCAACAACACAGACTGGGTATCCAAGCTCTCAAAGATTCTGTTCTTGAATTGCCAATTTACTTTCATTGAAGTGAAAGGTTCAACTCTCCTGGCCTATTCGAGGTGACGCTCAATCTTCAACAACCTCTGAGGTTGTTATGTGATACGGGATTTGATCAATGGACAAGATGTCAGCTCCTGGTTCGAAGGAAATACAGGAATATGAATCCGAACTCCTGGCTGCCTTGGAGATCAACTTAAGTGTAGATCTCATTGGAGCTGCCAAACGCCAGCTGAGCTTTCTCCGTGCGGTGCATTGTGTTCCAGGTCTACACCGAGGTCCTGCAGTACTTCTCGCCATCAAAAGGTGTGTTACTCTGCTCATATCTGAATAGGGAATTCTAAACAAGCTAACATTCCTAACTTCTCCAGCGAAAATGTACAACCTTGCTGTATGCATTCCAACTGGTGTATGTCCTCCTTTGGGATGGAGTACGATTGCGAGATTGATCTTCACGCGAGTTGCCTATGAACTGTCGTTGTTCTGTCAAAAGCCTTTGTATCATCTCGTTTGCCCATGTCTTGTAGAATGACTTTGTACTTTCTGTTTGTTTGGCTGAGAGGAGAGAAAGAGAGCGGGGAGAGTAGTACTTTCAGCGTTACAGAACTCTGATCCACATTTCACTTTCAAGTGACAAGATAATTAACTTATGTATATTTTCTTCGAAATGTTCAGCTACTAATTCCGATCAGGACACTCATTTTGAGCATTCTCCCTGCACTACATACACGAATAGTGAGAGTAGAAAAAAACCCGCAGTCCAAATTTAGACTGCTTTAGCGCCATAACATACTTCCGTGTTAGTCTTTCGTGAAGCCATGATCTCGAACGGCTTTCTCTCTGATCAAATAGATCGGTGCTCGGATGGAGACCATTACCCTCATGAAACTTTCCGCAACGGGGTCTTGTGATTCAAACTTACTTTAGTATCGAATTCCTTCGTAGTTCTCAACGTTGAGGCGTGACTAGTTACAACTTATTCGTGTTGAATTTCGTAGGACAACTCATTTCATGTGTTCTTATGAGCCTTGAGACACTAGATTCGATGCAGCCTCTGCTTGAGAATGTTCTTGGAAAGTTAGAACGTGGTGTTGTGATTGCTCATGTTGTGTTGGCATGATACGCGATCATTATCACTTTTGACGCTCGAATCTTTTCCACTGACATGCGGAGAATTAAATGAAGATTGATTTGGCGCATATGAGGTTGCTGTGCGCTATCAAAACGTTTGTAGACTTCATATTTTTGCTGAATTTATTTCTCCAGGATGCAGATGTCCCTAAACCTGCTACGCTTCTGCGTTCCAGTCTGGCCAAGTTGGAAATAGCTGGATTATAACCGGCGCAAACTAACAATACGTAGATCTCAACGTAGATGGCTGCAAGAGGTCGATTTCTCGATTAATCCTTCACGTTTTTAGTCCAAAAGATAGGAATCTGTTGGCAGGCCTAACCTCAAACGCTTGGAAGTTATATTGAATATATTAGTGGAATATTCCTGGATCCTAGATGCGAGATTGATTCCCATCCTGTCCTGTGAATTGCAAACAAAGGGACTTTCCTTTGAACATTCGACTAGTCGCACAATGAACTCGTGCATCTCCAGCGTTTGCCGTACATCTTGAGCAAAAAAATGTAACAGAGGTAGATTCCAGTCGAGAGTAACGTGGAATTCCAACTGTTTCGGCAACGTCGGAAAATCCACGAATCAAACGTCGAACCAATTCCTGACGAGTTTTGGGCGGTATTGAAGGTAGAAGAATGCATATGTAAGCTTCGTACTGGTCTAACTTCATGTAGAGCACGAAATTTGACTATACTCGTGTTTCGAGACTCAGCTGTACTATAATTGTTCAAAAAGGAGCAGTCATAAGCAGTGGCTGTTTGGCACACTGACCCCACCGGGAAAAATGGAATTGATCGAGGCTGCGATGTGTCCACTGACTGGGTGCACGCAAATCTGGAAAGCACGATGTTATGACGATCGTGATTGTGTCGTACGAAACAAGGAAGTCGTGAGCAGGCCTGCAGGTAATGCTAGGGCGACGTAGTCGGTGGGTCCCACAAACGACCTTCAGAACCTTGAGGAACAAGGACAATTTTGTAGAGGAACATACTTCGAGTCATGGAGATCATTTGACATGGACATTATCATTGATCGATGAAATTATTATCTTCATCGCAAACAGCCTGTAGATGATTCGAGAACCTTCCGTGAACATGCATCTCGCACACGGGCTTCGACAAGACATTTGCCAGAGGCGAGCATGTCACAATTGCCTATCATCGCGATGTGGTTTCGAACCACTATCCCCTGATTTTTCCCTCTACACCTGCTCCTGGCTTGAAATATCATATATATCTAGCAACTGAGAGTAACCGCACTTTGTAAAGCTTTGTTCTAGACACTGGTCAGGGTGTGGGGAGGCCACAGTCGTGCTGATTTACTGGCTGTTTTGTTCTTACAAGCTCCTGGTTTTTCTTTGGTGTCAAAAGAGAAAATTACAAATGCACGGCATTTTATGGAAGGCGAAGCATCCTTTCCTAAAAACTTGGAGTATCTACGGCCTGGTTGCACAGAAGTAAACGTCCCTAATATCTAGCCGCAGCAATAACTTAGGTTCCGGTACTTTTCATATAGGGTTTAAACTTGGGATTTCAGGAAGTTTCAAGCAGGGAAATTTGGCGCGATATTACCTTATCTTGCCTGGTGCCTGCGTGGCATACTCGGGGATAACTCAACGGTTACGTAGAAATCAGTTCCTTTTCAGGTTTCCTTCAAGTCGGTATGTTAACCCGGATCTACACGACAAGTTTTTGTATAACCTGTTTGCCCTCAAAAGTGTAGAGAAGTATTGCTGGAACTAAGAAAGAGGGTAACTACTAGGACTTTATACGGTTATGACCAAAGAAAAAACAAGTTTCTAAGGCCACCCATCAAGCCGTACGGATAAAACATAGGCCAAGCATATGGTTTTGTTCTAAACCTTTGTGAAGGGTTTCGTCTTAAGCCATTGAAAAGATTATGACAAGTTTGATATACCTGAGCGCAGGCTTACATATGGGAATAGGCCCTCGCATGATGTGTAAGGGATTATCCCATATAAGCCCAATGTGAAAGGCCCTATGAGTTTTGTTGGTATCGAGCAACTATCCCCAGAATAAATCGTGTGGGAGTAGAGAAGGTTTAGAAATTGCATTCACAAGTGTGTCTATCTCGTGAATGGGGTATCAGTACTGACTGCATCAGTTGATGACATCAGTTTGTTAGAGAGGACAAAAACAGTATTGACGGACAAATATACACAGTAAGTTTCATGATAAGTCCGTTCAGAACGGACATACGTTGCTTGACCCAATCAACTGCTGGGTTCTACATAACATTCTAGTTGCATGGAGTCTCAGGATGTAAAACACTAGCTTTCCTGGTCCGCTCCTTTTTCATATCAGATGAACAAGGTCAGAGCAGGAGACCACGACGGAGTTGACGACGCTAATCAGGAGTATGAAGTCGTTGATACATTGTTTCAAAGTGAAACAGTGCACCTATAAGGAACTGGAAACCAATCAACCTCCCCGTGTATTTACGATAAAAAATTGAGCATCAATTTTTAAATCCTGTCCGAACAACGTTTGCTTCAATAGACGGAGTACGAAAATGCTCTGCCGTGCTATCAACGGGTTACATGCTTTGGCCGTGGCAACAACGACTGTTTCGGTGCGTTTAGATAGTTGGGGCCCTCCAATACTGTTTGGAATATTTTCTATTGCCCCTTTGGTTTATTAAAAAGTGCTCTTGATGAGCCTTCGGGTTGTCGCCAGAGAATGCATGAGCTTTAAGGGGTACGCGGTACTGCCTCTCTCAAGTGAATCGTCACTCCTGAGGCCACCAACAAAGTAGCAGCCCTTTCATCACGCGGAGAGCAAGTGCATATTTTCGACCAAGTAGGCGTACCTTTGTCAAAATTTTCTACCAGGTAGACGTCATGCCTACACAGCAGCAAATGTTGGGAGGAAGGTTAGAGATCGACTACGTGTAGCATTGCACACGTTGTAACTCCACTGATCGGTTTGTCTTGCACTCTTCACATGTCGTATATTGTATGCTGCAGTAGATATAACTTCTGTAGTATATCTGCATGATCAGTTGTTTGAAGTGAATCTCAGAGCTACCTGTTCCAGAAGGACATTATTCTACTAAGTTATCATGCTGCACAGAAAATTTTGCGTCACGATTGGTTCTATGTTATTATTTGTATTGTTGATTTCGGACAATTTGACTAAAGCCAAGTGTATCCATCGTACACCATTCAAGGGATTTTTACTTGTGACCAATTATCGCACGCAAAGTTACAAGATGTGTCTGCGGGTAGGGGTAACTAAAGCATCTGACGGACTAGGGGATCGTAAAAGCCGATTTGGAAGACAATTCCGAGGCTAATTTTATCTCGTTTGTGATTTGACGTGAAACTAACGGCAGCCTCAACATTGTAATCAGATACTACAATTTCTGGATGCCTTTAGCAGCTGAGTGCTTCCAGCGAGGGAAGAGAGCTAATTGGGAAGGAAGCAAAGCTCTTCTTCCGTCATTCGACGTACAATGGGTTTGGCACTGCCATCGCCTCAACCCGGTAAGGCCTCCTGCAAAAGACATCTCTGTGTATAACTCGTCAGTTTAGCAATGATGATGCTAATAGCTTAGCTATTAAATCACCGTAGCGATATATATATGCACGCATTTTAAAAATCGCGTGCATGTTTTTAGTCATGTTGCAGAAGATACTTGACGTGCGTACTTCTCTCTATATATTAATTGTCATTTTGCAAATCTTAAGTGCTTACTATTAGTTTCTCTACCCAATGAGCTTATTATTAGCTCCTCGCTACAGTAGCCAATTTTTGTCTTGAACTAAGCGGCTGCATGCCGAGAGTTCTTGGAGTTCGTCCAGCGAGATTGACTACATTCCTTCACTATTCGGGTCTTCAGAAATGCTTCCGGCATCAATCACAACACACAGCTGTCTGTTTTACGGAGCAATATACCACATATCTATGAATTCGTGGTGTGAGATATGAAATTCATGGTGAGGCAGCGTTCATGAGCGCTAGTATACCAAGTGTATATCATGACTGCACTATACACTTGATGAGTTCGCAAGTTTGATGAAGATATTAGTATTTACTACCTCCAGGTCTATTCCATGTAATCGATCGTTTGATGGAATGATCTGATGAGGATTTGATAAGGAATCCAAGAGCAAATTTGTCCACATACAGCCTCGGCTTATGTACTGCGCATGTTGGTGCAGATGGCTTACCGGAAATATTGTTCCACGGTCTTTCATGAAGTGATTGATTTTCCAATGTTGAGTGACGCTGAGAGCGAGGCTTCCGCCCGCGATCGATGTCGTAAGCTTTGGATAAAGCGCTATCCAAAGGAGCCGTTTGATATATTGCCTCAAATCCGCAAGCTCGCTACCGGTCAAGTATACCCCATAGACGAGCAGAGCGACGACAACAATGAGGAAGATGAGGCGGAAGAGAATCAGTTGGTTTCAGCTATCGCCAGGCAAAGTTCATTCTATTTCCAGGTTAGTAAATTCACCAATCTGTGAATCTATTGCTACCTGTGCGATGCAGACAGGAGATGACTTGTTATCCTTATTCGTGAACTCCCATAGAAACTAAGTTTCAAATTGAACTTCGAAGTCCAAATGGTATATATGGTATGGTAGTTAAGCACTGAGATCTGAGTTCTCTATCTCGAGATACAGGAGGTGAAAGGACCTGCGAGAATGCGCTGCGGCTACGTGCTCATGATTTCGAAAGGTTGTAAACCTTGCAATCACAATTCAAACTCTCTCCGGTTACTATTTATCCCGTCACCTTCAGTGTAAGGGGTGTTCGCAACAAGCTTCCTATTGGAAATAGTAACATGGTTCGACATAGCCCGTCAGTAAATTTTGCATGGCTCGATAAACAGCCCTTTGACTTTGAAGTGGTTCCCTGCTCGTGCGTTCAGGTCTCTCAACCGTACATGTGGGACGAGAGATTTCTCCGAGCGGCTTTGCAGCGTTACAAATGCTTTCTGCATATACTCCGTAAGTCGGAGGGGAAAATTCTTTGCGTTCCGACTTATGATATTGACCTCATGTGGCATTCTCATCAGGTAGGAGAAATTCTATCCAGGCTATTCGCACCAAATTTCTCTAGCTATCAATTATTTTGTTTATGATGTAATAGAGCCAATCGATAGCATACAAGTAGTTGTATATGTTAATATCAGAAGACTGACGCGAAACCCCGAACGAATATGGTGAACGGAAGGCAGAAAAAAGGTCTTTTTTTATGGAGATTAGCATGCTGAAATCAGTACACATTCCGATTTAAAAGTCGCAAAATACTTCAGACCTGGACTACGAGTTCTTCATGATAACAACTGAGAATTCCTGCACTGACTACGACATGCTCTTCACCTCTTTGCTTATGCAGCTTTCACCACTGGCTTACGCCAACGATACTCACGCCCTACTGGGTTGTGTTATGGATCATGATGATACTCTTGAGAAAGGCCCAAACACGAAACTTGACCAGGGATTTCAAGACACTGCCCGACTGTGGGAAAATACTTTCGGACAGCCTTATGAAAAAGCCGGTTCAATGTCACGAGGAACGCAACCGCTGAGTCCCACGCCTCTACCTTCCGATGATGGCGGATTCGAACGCGTACCCGTAGCCTTACCTTGGAGTTATCAACCGAAAGACGTAAATCAATACCTCAAGATTCTCAGTCCAAGATACGTCGTGGAGGTGAATACCTTCTCTTCAGCTCTTCTTCTCCGTGTGGACCTAGAAGTCGATTGTAGAGGAGACAAGTATATGCTCGAGTACTCTTTAATTCAGACTTTTACCCATGTACTACAGCTTGTGTGTTTCGTTTTATGAATCAGGTGTGCCTACTGATCAAGAGCGCCGTCGGTGATATATCTTTGAAGGAAGGAGGTGACCTCTTCCTTCGCTTGAAAGCTCTAGATGCACACAAGCTTATGAAACTGGACATTCCGTTATTTCCTGGTATCCGACAACCACAGTGGCAGAAATTATGGCTGCTACAGTGCGAAGTGAGTACCAGAGGGGTGATTCTCGAGCTTAGATGCCACGTTCGCAGTTGTTTCAAATCTTTGGCAACGACCACTAAACTGGGAGAATCAGTTCTGAGTTGGCAAGAATTACAAGAGTCTTCGTTGCTTTCAGTGGATCGAGTGTTCCAACTGAAAGACAAGAAGAGACAACTTTTTCATGATAATCACGCCTTGTCACAAGGCGCTGCCTTAAGGCTCGGAGCATCAATCACACCCTCTGTTCCTGCACCTTATCTGCTCAAATCTGTTCCTGATAGAGTAACAGATGATCAGGGAGAAATGATTTCAACCTTGTACCTCAGAATGCGGAGGAACCAGCCTCAAGAGGGGCGCTGGATGTCAAGAACAGTCCTTGATCATAGAGGCAAAGAATGCTTTGTCATACGCATCAGGTATCAACTCTGCCATATGGCAACCTCATCAACATCCAATTTAAAGGATCACTACAACCTATTTATAATATATGTTCATATGTTTTGAAGTGGCGTATCGGGTAATTGAGATTGGGCATTCACAAAATACACACGAAAGGTTTAGGCCTAAACCCTTATTTTATCGAAAAGATGACGAGTCGGTCTGTGTATGAATGTCTCATCACAGGGCCGCCAAAGGCATATGGAGAAAAGGCAAAGATCGGCCAGTAGGGGTAGATTGGAACGAGAGGGTTATCCATATTTGCGAAGGCGGCTGGAATTATATATCAGGATTTATTGGAAAAGCACCTGGTAAATCCAACGCTGATTACATCTTATTCTATTTGTTTATTTTCATTCCCTGCGTCGTTTATTGGAATTATATCTAGTCTAGTCTGGGCCGTTCGAGTTCGGGAACCATACCATGAAAGTTCTACTCCAGATTACCTTATTGTCAAGGAAATGCTTGGGCACTTTCGTAGTGTCTTCTGGACGTTATTGTCCGAGCATTTTCTTGACAACCAATCTCCTGCTTCGAGTTTGCGGTGTGAAAATTTTCTATTGTGAACTGTATCGGGATATTGGTTTGCTCAATGTGCGCAGTGAAAGTTGTCGGAACGGCTATCCCATTTGCTGATGATCTCGGCCAGTACAAGCTCAGGTGGTCTCTGTCGTCAGGCGAGATGCTCACAATCTCGCGACCCATGGAGGAGCTAAATTGGGAAAGTAACCTCATATTTTCCCTCGATGGTTCCTCACATGGATTGGTACTCACAGAACCTGCTTTTGAACTCTTTAAAACTCCTAGGACAATAATTCTCCACTCGTTTGATCAGTAAATGGAAATAGCGAGTGTGAATGGGTGACCGCGTAGAAGATTCAATGGTTCATTGCCTAATCTCAGCCATTCCTCTGAACTTTCTCATTTTGTTACCCACGAACTACCGAACGGTCAACCTTCGTCTTCTAGCGAGCCAAGAGCACTGAAGAATTGCGGTGAATATAGCAGTGCTGTTTAGTAGTACTGAGTGATTAGAGTAATAGGGTTGTGATCTGGATATCTCAACGCTGGTTGATGATTCTACCCGTGGCGTTCTTTTTTTTCAGTCAAAAACTCAAAAGCTGGCAGACTAAAGTTCTCAATCTGTATCTAAACACTGATTACTTGAAGACTGTCTTTTGGTTTAGGTACGCTTGCTCAATGGAAGGAAGTTAGCGTACCAGGTTCCAGGCGCTACAGCAGACGATGAAGAGGGCTTTGTGACACTCGTGCGCCATACACCTGATGCTCCTCAAGGGAAAGCGACAGCGTTGTTCAACTGGAAGCTCTCGGCAATGGAGATATATCCGGAAGAAGATGTTCTGCTTGTCCTTCTCCTGTGCACTAGCACTTTGAGATCCGTGGCCGATCTGGGAGGGAAAAACTATGAGAATCTATACGCGCGAAGAAGGGCAAAAGAAACCAAACCAGGCTTGAAAGATTGGGGCTCTGTGGTTATCGAGAATCCGAGGTCTCAGTCAAATCTGATGTTGTGGTATGTGAATCCGGGGAACGTTTTGTCTTCAGAGGAAGGTGCTCCAAGCACTGGGGTCTTGGGTTCGAATGATGCTGCTGATGGTTGTGGTAACTGTGCCTCAAGCTGTGGAGTCGGAGTTGACTGGGAAGGGGGCAAATCTTTTGCTGAGGAAACGTCTAGTTATGTCGGTTTTGGCGGGGGCATTGGAGGGAGGCAGGATCGACGAACTGGGAGTGGTGTGCAGCTGGAAGGGATAGTTATAAAAACTTGAAACCCCTCGCTTTAGGCCGGCGTACGATGTACAGACGTGAAATCAATTTCGTTTAGTTCTAATCACTCCTTCAAGTAAGGGGCAGCTCCACCTTCCTCACTTGTACATCATCTTACCATATTCAGAGACGCGGGAGTGTGCGGATGTGTTCTTGTTGTTGGTTCCAAGGAAACCGGTACATGAAATGCCCTCATAAGTACATAGTCACCGTGATAAGGATTCGAATGGCCAGTAGATATTAGATGGTCGAAATTGAGGAACTGAGGTCTGGCTTCTACTGTCAATCACTGTATAGTCAGGGGAGATAGAAAGCTTCGACTCGGTCGTACAACGGACGAAAGGGCGTCTAACAAGATCCAGAAAAAAAAGTTTAGGTGGCTTCAGAGGTTTATTAAAACCAATACAGCATCACATTAGCTTTGTTTCCAAACATGTATATTAGATATTCTTTCCGAGCTGAAACACCTATAGTGAAACCCATCCACAATATTCTGTTTTTTTTCAAAACCATCCATCCCATTTACCACTGTCAAACCAGAATTTGACACAAAGTTTCAACACTGGATCGCCCACTGTCACCAAAATATATCTTGAATGTGTAGAGATCCAATTTGCTTTTGTCTGCGGACTCAAGTGTGACTCAAGTATTATCTTGCGGAAATCGCGAGAAATGTACTGAGATTAATATGTTGAGTCTTCTTATATAACAGTTTGTTTGTATCATACATTGTATTTCAGTGCAGAAAGCCACATATAGAGGAAGGAAAGCAACTGCTGGATAGTGTGTCCCAAGCTGTTGATTGACAGCTTTCGGAGTAGGCTCTTGATCATAGTTCGGTTCCTTGTTCCCCTCGCATCATTTACTTTGCAAAGAAACCTAGCATGGAATAAAAAAGAAAACAGGGGAGGGGCACTGCAGATTGGTCTTAAAGTTTCTTGTTCTTTGTTTCAGAAATTCGCGTTTGATAAACTCAGTCAGGTATGTAAGATCCATATTTGATACATATACATATATTTAAAATCTACCTGCATTATTCCATTTTTAAAAAAAAATTAGATGAATTGTAGTTATGTTGACAACAATGTTACATTGCTTCCAATGTATTATCGCGCTTGATCTTTTAAAATTTCCGATTTCTCTATTGACATCCCCAATAACTTCCCAATCCCGCTTCGTTGTCATTTCTAGAGGGATTTAATATTTTGTTTTTCACCGGCAGCGGCAGTTTTTTCAAGCCATAAGGTTTGAGTACTTGAACTAGCATCTCCTGTACGGTTTTTCCTCTGGGAAAAAAATCATTAATAAAATTACGATAATGAATTAGTATTTTATCCAATTCCTTTAAATCAAACCGTAAATTGCGCCATATACCATTAGGGTCTAAGGGTTTAGGTTTAGCACCTGGTCATGTTTATTTTTTCTTCGTTCTAGAGGATATATTTTAACTTAGATTAATTTAACCCTTGTTAGGGTTTATATTATGAAGCTTAGGCTAGGAAAAGCTTTAGTGATTAGTGTTGGCGCGTGTGTTTCTGTTCTTTGTCTTTTTTGTGAAATTCGTAACAATTGGCATATCAGGTTCCTTAGTTCCGTGGATATCAGAATTCGAGACAATTGAAGCAGTGGATAGCCCGAAGTGTGTTGCATAGGGGTCTAAAATTCGTAATATGATGTGATCGAGTCGTAACTAGTCTAGCGCAAGACCTTTGAGGTCTTGCTGCTTTCAGGGCGGTCAGCATTTTTTTTCCTAATAGCGTCGGTGTATGTTTTTCTTACAGGAGCCCGCTCCTATAGCTGTGCTGTCATCCGATCAAAAGCATGACGTCATTATTTCTCGTCAATACAAGAAGATGGATCCATGAGTACTTCGCATGTGGAGCTTCTCAGTGAAGAGCTTGCATTTTCTAATGTAGGAAGCAATATCTCAAAATAGAGCCTTTCTCTATTTTTCTCTGAAGTAGTATACCAAAGCCGTGAAGGAACTCGATACCGTTTTAGAATTAGTTCGTAAGGATGTCATATTAGCCAACATTAAGGCTCTCTATTTGATGTATTTTACAAACCTTGTTGACGTAACGCAATTCCTACAAATTGCGCTCTACTTGAGACCTTGATGCTCAACATCTGTAACATGTATAAGCTGATTCGCGTCGAATCCAAGTATACCTTGAGGGTTTGGACTTTACGGATAGCACGTGACAACGTTGATTTCACATGCAGTCTTATATTGAGCTTCACGATGTAGTTGAGTATCAATTTTTGTCACTTTTTGAAGCTGATTGTCACTTTTCAAACAACCTTATTTGGAATCAAGTCATCAAAATTACTTCTTTTTGTGTAAAGTTTGAACAAGTTTTTGAGGATTTTATTTTGGCAGAATAAGACAAATCATCAGCTTTCATACCAAATCTGTAGAGTATTGTTCGATAACATGTTGATCAAGTCTTATCATTTATGCCTTAGTACATGCATTTATATATTCAAGTAAAGTTATGTTCAAGCTCTTTAAAAGTTTTCCTAAATCCTAACTAGTATGAATTTAATTGAAATCAGTTTATTAATGATTAAAACTAATAATCTACTCCTTAACTCATGTCTTGGGGATAATAATTTTCATAATATATATAATTATATTGTGAAAAATTCTAACACTAAACCTAACATAAATTTCTCTTCAACATAGAGCTAACTAGAACTAAATTGCAATCAAATAAGATTGAATAAAAGTATAAAGAGTTAACAAGAATTGATTATAAATTTTACATTTATTCTTTATGAAAAATTTGCAAAGAAGCATAATGTTTATTAAAAGTCTGCAAAGAAACGATTTCGTTAACTGGATTCAATTTATTATCAATATTTATTAGTTCAATCCTTTTATTAGATTTTGCATCTCTAATGTTGATATGTTTCATTTTTCTATACATCATTTAATTTGCAACAATATGTAACAAACTTTGATTATTATAATGAAAAATAAAACCTCATCTTTTAATTTCATCTTAATGATAAACATGTTTTTTCTTATAGTTTACTTTGTCACTTCTGCTGTTGCTATATATTCAGCTTTAGTTGTGAATTGAGTTATGCACTACAAAGTAACTTTGAATAATTCTCTTCAATAGCGATATTTGATCTCAACTAAAGTCAAACAAATTGATTGCAGTTAAGATTTGAATTTCTACTAACAACCAACTATACTTAAGTATAATTCTCAAAATAATCAAAAGATATTACTGAAGTAAATTTAAACAATATTCAAGGAGAACATTTAACATCTCTTATTCATTATGAAACTGAATCCTACTTAAGATTAAGCAAAATGATTTTAGTTCAAAAATAATACTAAAAAGAATTTTTTTTAAAGTATGGTTTTCCTGAGTACAAACTTCAAGTTTTTGGTAGCTTCATATCCAATCAAAATCATTTAAAAGTATTAGATGTCATCAATTTTCTATGACAAAGTTGTGGACATTTTCATGTATTTGATGATATGTACAAGATTTGATATTACTTCAAATATGGACAAGGTTAGAAAATACATGTCGAATCTATGAAAAATATATTGGAAAGAATTGAAATAAATTCTTAAATATCTAAAGAGTACTAAGAATCATGATACTTTGTACGATAGTTCATTAAACAATGTCAAATCCAAGTTAGATTAAAAAAGGTTTAGGGTTTAGGGTTTTAGTTAAGTTGATGTTGACTATGAACAAGATCTAGTAGAAATTATGTATGTGTTTACACTTAATGATTGAAACATTAGTTGAAGATTTAAATTCCAAAACTGTGTAGCTCAGTTGAAAACAAATACTTAATATGTAGTGATAGCAAAATAATTTATTTGATTGAATAGGTTTATAATTGAGATATGAAATTGTTAATTTTCATTGTGATAGTCAGAATGCATCACATCTTGTTACAATTCAAATAATGGAAAATATAATAAAATACATTGACATCAAGTATCACTTTATCAAATATGCAATGTTTGATAAAAAAAATTTGCAAAAATCAAGATTTATGATAATTCTAATCTAACTGTTATGTTTATCAAAGTTACTACTGTGGAGAGTTTTAGAAGACATATGATATAAAAAATATCTATTTTAACTTGATTCAGTTTTAAAATGATTAGGGTTTATGTTATGTTATCACTACAAAGAAGAGCTAGCAAAAGCTCTCAATGATCATTTTAGGTTTTCATAAATAAATTTTGTTTTGTTTTTGTGAACATAGATCACAGTAGCAAACCAGGTCCTTAAGTGCAGTAGTGTATGTTTGTGTTTTTTGCATTTTCTCAAAAAAGATTATATAAAATCTATCTACTGGCGCTATTATCACCACTTGTTTGGGAGAGATAGAAGCTCAAAGAAAAGAAAAGATGCTATGACATCTCGGACCCCTTACATTACATGTCTCATTGCATGTGCTAGAATTAGCAAAACTTACAATCACCAAAACAATTTTGCTTCATAATCCTCCGCAACAAGGATTTGCAATAATAATAATTTGTAAGTAGATTTGCAATAATATTATTAGTTAAGTAGGTCTGTCAATGTTTTCTATGTGTCTTCTTTTACCAGAGAAGCCAGTGTGATATAAGTGTTTGTTTCTAGCAAGTTTTCAATTGTCCCCAAATATCAAGCATCCTCGTTTTCAAAAAATAAATTAAAACATATCTCCGTAGTTCCGTGCTTTTCACCCCGTTTGATCTTCCTGGACCGAGATAAATTCCACATCATCCATGGAAGTCCAAAATAGCATATAGGCCATTGTCAAATTACTCAATGGATTTTCATATCCCATTCTTGAACTAGTACAACAACTCAAATATGTTTGTACCGGTTTGTTATTCAATCTCAAGTGTTTTAAAAGCAGAAAGGATTTAAGAGAAGCTGATTCCTGTAAATCTTCTCACCTATAACTTTGATTGATTGTATGAGATTTATTAAACCAATGGCGCATGAGTGGTGAAAATGATTGAGATCAGAGTACTTCATGTGGGTTACCATCTTATTACTATCTTGTAACAATGACAATATTCTTTTCCATCATAAACTAGACATAATTCTTAGAACTTTGGAAAATATTGGAACATTATAATGATGTCAATCATTTGTCAATTTAAGAAGCGGATAACCTAATTATGATAGACCTCTTTGGACTGTGTTTTCCTGAGTGTTGGAAACATGTATAAATTCAAGTTCTATTCTCTTAACGCGTCGTATTGGTCTCTTTGGAACGAAGTTTAGTTCCAGGTAAGATATTCACACATATCACTTCTCTAAATTCCGTTGTGTTCTAAATACACTTGCAGCCGCAAGTATATTTAATAACTAGCGGTTACAAACATACATGAGTTGTTCTAATGCTTTCACAACAAAGGATAACCAACATGCGATGAGTATGTGACAATGATCTGTATGCTGGTTTAGACTTTAATGAAAGATTCATCATGTACTTTGTGTGATTGTGTTGTAATATACTCTTACACCACCAAGTCGTTATGTAGGTCCATGCTTACCACCAAACTCTCCTCATTCTCAACAATAAAGGATAACATATCAGTTTTTGACCCAAAATAGCTTTCAAAAGCCAAAACACTCAACACACGTCTACCATACACGATCTATTCATCGATATCACCATGTCAATGAATGTCGGCTTTGTTAACTTGATATGTTCGTGAGATTGGACTTTATTCTTGTTATTGTTGTTTTCCACTCTGACGTAAGAGTACAATACAATAGTATATATGAGCTTTCGAACATGATAATATTGTTGCTTGTGTTTCACCACGTCATGTGAAGCAGATTTTGCGAAAATAAGCAAAAAAAATTTTCCCGATTTTTAACTTGAATTGAGAGTATGATCCAAGAATTTCTTGAATCTATAATATTTTATAATAATTTGAAGTATTATTGCTAAGACTTTAACAAGGCTGGATTAAAACTATCACGAAAAAATTGATCAAAAGAGAGCTTTTTTTGAGCTCAAACATATAAGCATATTGAAAATATTAGCGAGAATTCATCGTAGTATATACTGATTCTTGGGATAACGATAACTGTTTTTTCCAGCATGATGATAAGTGAAAAAAAGCTTGTAATGCGCGCATTGCTCCAACAACACATCTCAAAGAATGTACCGTACAACCTTTTTACTGAATATGTAATTTCCACGTGGACAGTTGTATAGGTTATTTCTTGAAGACTTTTTCTTGTCATCAATCATCGTCGCACATTTAAGTGATACATAAATTGGAATAATGTTATATGAAAGCTCTCCCGGATGAGCTTTTATTTTACAGGAGAATCATATCGCTTTCATGCATGTACGTGGAGTGGTTAACCGTGCTACAGATGGGTTGAGTCAAAAATCATGATATGAGCCATATGGAGATAAAACCTCGATCCAATTATCCACGACATCCAACCGCAGAAATCTCACAGATAGCTCATTCTTAAACACCGCGTGAATTGATCCCATGAGAGAAATCAGATTTGTAGGATGCTCATTCCACTCTTGGAACTTTGAATGAAAGCTCCATTACAACAATATGATAGAAGTAGGTGCTTTGCATTGACTACTTGCCTTTTGAATTCCGTATAGGGTTCACATTACTAAGCCGAACCTGACTGAGGAAATCTGATTATTGGTCAATAATCGAAATTGTTGTAAATAGGCTCCTAACTTCATGTAGAGTCCAATAGATCAGGGGATCAACATCGACTGTACAAATTTGCACCAGAGTGCATGATGCCTCGCTCTGTCAAGATAGTTTTCTTTTCTGGACTTGAAAGCAATACTATGGATACGGAACTCTTCTTACTGGAAAAATATTTTTGAAGATTGAGCTCTTTCTATGCTGTTCCTTAATATCTTAATAACGCCTGCAGGATCTTTGGCGCCGAATACAGCGCTACCCGCAACGATCACGTTAGCTCCTGCTGCAGCTGCCTGATCAATAGTAGAGGGTGCTAGTCCGCCATCGACCTGTACGCATAGGGACTCAATATCCATTTTGCAGTGGCTACAATATTCTCAGGCGAAATCTTGTTTACAGGCAATTTACAGCATCTACTAGGAAAGAATCTCGTCATGCTGTCAACGCTTAAGTGAACTCTACAATGATGTTATTGAGGGCTAGAACCTAGCAGCGGAGCACTCAGACAGCATGCAACATGACCTTCACGAGCTAAGGAAGCACATCAATATTTGATTATTGGTCGCAAACACTTGTTAACTGCATGTGAGTGGAAACTATGAACAAACCCAACGTAATGGACAGCCGGAGTGCCATACCTGAATATCCAAATTAGGGTATCTACGGCGCAATTCTTTCACCTGACACATGCACATGGACGACTATCAGCATTAAAACATCTGAACAAATAGTTTCAGATTTATGACCCGTTCAATTAACGGGCTGCTCAGTTGCTAAGACAAGAGAACAACACAAAAGTTGACCGATGATAATTCGCAAACTAACCTTGGGCATCATATCTGGCATGAAGCTTTGCCCCCCAAAACCTGGCTCTACAGTCATGACCAGAACCATGTCCACACTATCCTCACCTTCCACCTGCAATAAGAGTTTTAATTCAGAGCTTGGACCAATAAATCGTCCTCTTCAACAATCAATCAAACTCTACTTGAGGGGATAGTAGGGTGCGCAATCCCCTTGAGCTTCAGAACAGGAAAGCTAAGAACCTTGGTTATTGAATCAGGTTGAAATGACTCACAAGAGGAAAAATGTCCTCGATGGGTGTCCCTGGCTTGATAGCCACACCAGCTTGCATACCAGAAGATTTAATACTTTTAATCAGCTCCGGCCAGCTATCTGTTTCAATAAGCGTAGGAAATGGAGAAGAAACAATTTCATTCTTACATGGAATGAAAACATCTTGCAGCGAAAAGAAACGTTCTCTTCCTTCAAAAAGCAGCCCAGAATTGCCTCACGGCTATGAGGCAAGATCTCAGGTGACAATCGACCACAAGTCAAAGAATCACAAGCACAGAAAATTAGCTTCACTTTCTCTCGTTCACGGACATTCAGTTGATGGGACTCAAACAAGAATGACAGATACACCTAAGCCAGAGCAAAAGCGAAGGGAGATATACGCTGACTAACTGTGTCTCAAGATTCCTGCTATAGACTGCCCGGAAAAACAAAGCTCCTATTGCTACAAGTCTCTGTGAAAGCAAAAGATTACGATATATATACCTTTGGTTACTTCTGCGTGGAAGGTAAATGATGATGCTCCTGCTTTCGCAAAGGGCATGACATAATCAGCTGGATTTGTCACCATGAGGTGGCAGTCCAGAAATGCCCTGCATCATTTTCGTTCCAGACGAGCTATTGTTTATATCCTCCATATACTTCACATTTCACGCTCATCAACACGAGAACTCTAGAAGTATGACAAATCTCTATCTCAAGCAAAAACCGATCCACGTAGACTATCTGATGACCAGATGCTTTACTTGAGAAGACGCACTAACTTCAAAAACTTCGACTCTCGAGGTAAAATATTAAATCGCTTAACTTTCGAATTCTCAGAATAAAACAACTGCGATGCCAAGTGGCTCCAACTTACTTCGTATGTTTCCTCAGCGCCTTGATTACAGGTTCCCCGATGGTTAAATTCGGTACGAAGTGCCTGTCTCCAGCAGGAGTTACGAAATAAAAGAACAAAATGATATAAAAAAAAAAAGGAAACAGACGAGGGAAATAAAAAGTTCTCAAAAAACGTTGAAGATAAAAGCTTGACTACTGCCAAAAAAACTGAGATATTGCATACCACTACATGATGAAGATCTATCATTCCAATGCTGAGGTGCTTACCCATCCTGCACGATCAGATCCAAACATACAGTAACAATTGTTTGAGAGGAGTCTTGTCGAGTTTAACCATATTATATGTGTAAAGCCCCGCATTTAAATTGACGAGCACTGAAATGAGATGTTTGAGCTCTCTAGTACGTCATACGCCTAACAAAAAGAGTAGCAGATGATAGGAAGAAGCTTGACGTTAAGAACCTAAGCAATTAACTTCAAAATCTCGGGAAATTTAATGAGCGAAATTAAAGTCAACCATTGTTTCCAAACATTGGGCACCATAGAATTCTACTTCCCATTCTGAGCGGTGAGGGTGCCTCTGGTGGCCATAGCTATTCCATCGGAAGATCACAATATTTTCCTTAACTGTGTAGTAAATTGCAAATCTGTTGTCGAGAGTCCGAGCTAAAAAAATTTCTCACACATACCATGATGTCCATGTGCAGCCAATCCGCCCCACAATCCTCCATGAACTTGGCCTCAGATGCCAAATTTGCAAAATCAGAAGACAACATAGATGGTGAAATTTTCGGAGTCGGCAGCGCCACAGCATCGTGACCCATTTTCTGGAAAAAGTCGATCACTCAACGCGAAAGATCAATCGGAGGTCTTAAACGTCTCGCACTCGTTAGAATGAAACCAATAAGAAGTAAGCCAGCGCCTATTCGCCAGGTACAGAAGACAGATAGGACAGACACTCCCGTTCTCTGGTCCGAATCCTTGCTAATCAAAGTCAAGTCTGCACTCTACAACTAATGAGCGATCCTTTCTCTCTGCCCTTGTCTTCTATGGCAGGGCAAATCCTAGCAGCCCTCGTCCACCCTCCGAGGCTTCTGCGGCTTCTCGAGAGCTTCCGGATCGTCGCGTAAATCTCATTCATATCCCTTATGAGGTGAACAATGATGGTAAGTGATTATTTTTAGTATTCTCCACCTCACCATTTGGCGTAGATAGGTTAAATAAATTGGATATCAAGACGAAATGTTCATAATTGTACTGAAATTGGGCTATCTCGAGTATTCCCATATTTTGCAATTTCACTTGCATCAATGTGGGAAATTGAGTGAATAGGTCACAATCCCCATCATTTTGCATACCGTGTTTTGAATTTTCTTTTATGGACACTCATCCAATTTACCAAAACAAAAAACGTTAGGAGTTAAGGAGACTTGTATTCAAAATATTGTTTGTAGATATCAAAGTTATAAGAAAATTCCAGTAGATTGATATGCCAGTAATGTTAAAATAGAAAATTCACAAAAGCATTGGATATAGATTAAAGCATTAAAAAATCCACAGATAAAAAAGTATACAATTTTCCTGTCACAATTTTATGTCAATTCTATTTTAATGAAATTACTATAAAAAAGATTCCAGATTTTTTTTTCTTTGCAAATTTATCATTTTTTAAAAGATTATAAATTGCAGATTAATTAAAAAAATTCTCTTATCATTACCATTATTTTTCAAGATTGATCTAATTTTGGATTTTTAATCACTAGATCTCACAATCATTTTGACCTAAAAATGATATCTTTGCTCAATCAATATCTCAACAATCGGATAATAAGATGATGATATGTATCATTATTATGTGTACTGTGTGTAATTTAGATTCACACTGTTTGTCAAACGAAATATAGCTTTAACTTAATGAAATTCCGTTGTAATGTATAGCAAGCGTTTTATAATACGAAGGTGTGTCTTGTAAAACATCAACTCCAAAGTTTCGTTGTAAAATATTATCTGGTGAATTTGGAATAGATAATGAGACATATTTAATCATGTGAATATGCTATAGTAAATGAACTAACTGGTAGTGAAGATTTATGTCTATGTAACATCATGCATATGTATAATAAATATATATATATATGGTTGTATCAAGACAAGACTGAATAACAAAAGATAAAATTAACATATGATGTGAACTATAAAGAAATTTGGTCGCATAATATAATCAAGGTACACAAACATGCATACTTACTTATGTGGCATGAACAAATTAAGAGATTAGGAAAAATGTTTAGATTGTAAGTGGAATCGTAGTATACACTAAAAGCATATTTAGAGTTTTTTTAAACTTTAAAAAATTGTGGTACAATATATTGTTAAGAAGTGATATTTAATACAAAATGAAAAAATTGAAGAGAAAGTTACAAAGCATAAATCACAACTAACAAAGTATATATCATTAAAAAAATATTACATTATTAACACAAGTTTAGCTCGATAATAATAAGTAACATCTGAATGTATGCATGTTTAGCTTATACTAGAATTCAAACTTATTCAAAACGCAATAATATTGATTTCAAATATATCATAATTTTTGTCACATATACATTGCATTGAATACAATTTTGATACGGGACAAGTTTGTTGCATATGTGAAATTGTATAATACACAAACTATTATTGTATTGCATGGGAACACTAGAATAGGTTGAATTCAATTATATTATATTCAATTATAATTACAATTCATGAATTGTAATCTCATGATTTACCGTAGATCAAATGAATAATTTAAATGTACATGATGATGGGTAAAAACAATGATTTTTAATACAAAATATGGTTTGAAATCTGATCAACGTTCATTCAAACATTTACATTATAAAGAATAATTGTATCCAAATCTTGGTGAAACAAATCACAATCCATGCATTGCCGAACATTGACACGTAATAGTTGGTTTGGCCTCGACGTTTTGATTTTTCTGAGAGCTCCTTTCGTCGCTCGAGGACGTCGCGTTCTTCGTGGAATTTACTGAAATTTTGAATTTCTGTAGAGCCGGAGGACTCGTCACGATTGTTGGATTCATCCGGAACTAGACGATCGAGTGCCAGAATTTCTTTGAGTCGATGAGGAAGAGCTCCCAGGATATCATGGATCCGGACGAGGCACCTTATGTGGTCAATATGCATCAGTCTGATGCTTTGGAGCTCGTGAAATCCGGTGCAATGCTTTTGATTCTTGGCATGCCTGCCAATTCTTCTTTCGGCCTCAATACGCAGGTTGGGTTTCCTGATTATGGGAGTTCCTATTGAAGCAAAGTGTATTTAGGCCTCACAGGTTCCAAAAGCTTGAGCCATTTTGTCAGTTAGAAACAGAGACCAAAGAGGGGCATTATAATGTTCGATAGACGTGTATTTTCCCGAACGTGGATGTTTTCCTGAACAAGTCCTTTCATGACAGGATGGCTATCAGTTATCGAAGAGTTAGGAGTTGTATGTTTATTTTGTTGTTTTTGTACATTTTGGAGCTTCGGAAGTTTTTCGGTTTTCAAGAACACAATGATTCTTATTGTGTTCTGTTCTGCTATGTTCTACTCTGAATTTCTATGCTGAAAATTAACTCTTGAGTGAGAATTGAGAGTCTTGCTTCTGATGGAGCTTCAACTGTTTAAGGGTCAAGGCGACCAATGAAACCTGAATGAATGAACATCCTTATGCATTGCTATCCCAGTCTTGGATAATCCGGATGGTACTGATTGTCAATTTGCTTGTTAGATGTTTCTTGTAGGACCCAATTTCAAAGGAGTCAAGATGTTGTTGCCAGGACCGCATTTCGTATATTATAGCGCGAGAAGCAAGTAAGTTTTACTGCAATTAGGCTCATGTATTTTCTGTAAGTCTAATCACGACTCACTCTTTTGACGGACTGAAGCACACGCTTTTAAAATCAATGACAGTTTCTGTATGGTCTGAGGCATCACGAAGTAGATAGAACGCGGCCAAAATACTCTCTGAAGTTTCCCAAACTGATACCATGATCAATTGTGAACAGACACGGCGGCGATGCATCACCAGTGACAGGGTTTTTCATTCATGCTTCTCCTTCCGAGGTACTCATTCTTCCAACATCAACTCAGAGTTCAGAAAGGAAGGTTAGAAATTATATACAATGACACTACTAGCCTGATTGTGTTGCATGACTGCCTAATATACGATTTTACATGTATATCGATGACATGTAGGTGATTGTGCGGAAGTGGGACACACAGGAGGAACGGCTGGTTAAGTTTTCAGATAGCAGCGAGGTAAACACTTCTTCAGATCCACATTCTGTCTCTACCACTTATCGTTGTCCATGTCTGTAAGTATTGCCGTTGACTTCTCTTCTTCTTATTTGTCTAACATAAATATCGCAGATGTTTCTTTACAGGAAGAAGGATTCGCCATGGCTGCTAGAAATTTGGAATATGACCGACAGCTGGCACCCTATGACTTAGATCGTCACAAGATATGGCAGAGTCTCACAAACTTCATATCTCCAACGGTTATTGAAAAAATAGGTTTGTTACGCACTCACGGAGCTTCAAAGTATTTATGATGCATGAAGTTCCTGTTTTGTGTAAATAGATAATTTGGTTGAGGTTTTTTCCCTGAGGGCCAGTGTTTCAAAAAGAATTCGTCCAGATTTATTTGAAAGTTTCTGTCAGATTGTAGCAAAGTTTTGTAAATAACTCATGTGAGCTATGATGTAACATGTGAAAAACGCAGAACCTGTTGATGGCGACATATCAGTTATGGCTGAGGCTTCACTCGTACAGCATGCCCCAAAGACCGTTGCTGAAAAGCGGTTATTTGAGCAATTAAGAAAAAACACGGATCTGCAAGGGCCTGAAGAACCTTTAAAAGTAGACAAAGAGAATGATAGTCGCATCTCATCATCAATATCAAATAGCACTAAAGGTCAGGCAGAGAGTAAAAGTAGCGGTAGATGTTTCTACACTCACTTGCCTCACCTTATAAAAAAAGCAGGCATGTCTGCCTCAGAATTAACAGCAATGAACATTGATAAGGTCAGCACTCTGTGTAAATTAGTGTGCTTACTGTATGCATATGCTTTCTCTCCTTTTTGCGTGCTTCTCTTTGCCTTTATGTAGTGGTGTTGGGACTTCTATCCTGAGTTATAGTAGTCCTCTCGTATGAATTTTCCAACATTAGTGGATAACGTGAATGTATTCTACTTGCAGAGTCAAGCTTTAGAGAGTATTCTACAAAAGGACTTCGATGGGCAAGAAGAGTTGCTTCTGGGTGAACTCCAATTCTGTTTCATTGCCTTCCTTGTAAGTTTTATGAAACCTTCACGTACAGTCTAGCAACTATCTTCATTTTAATGTATTGTCAGAGTGTAGGGTCTCATTAGTACTGCTGAAAGACAATATCGATATTATCTGGAAACAGTATCTTGGAAACGTATAGATCTGTACCGTAAGATCTTGGTAATTTATGGTGTCTTGACACAAGACGTTACATACAATGGGCCATATTCTTGCATATATTTTTTGATTGACAGATGGGCCAGTCACTTGAAGCTTTCGGTCAGTGGAAAGGAATCGTGAGCCTTCTTCTCAGATGTGAAGATGCGGTACGTGCTACCCTGATAACCTCGGCTTGTCATCTATTTTGCGTATTGCTAGATCCTGTGTAGTAAGATTTTCTTTTTCAGGTGAGTGCTGTTGCATTTGCGACGTATGGTTGGCCCTTTGTCTTAATTTTAGGTTTACTTCTTAAGCATGGAGCCTTATCCGTATCTTTTTGTGCAAATGTCCTTTACTGACAGCCTTTGCGAATGCGGACGACCTTTTTTAGTAAGGTATGACACTTCGTTCCCTGAAATTTAGCTTCTAAACTCCTTAAACGCTGGTTTTTTCATCGGATATCATGTGAAGTGGGTATGCACTGTAATTTTCTTTAATTGACATAATTTGTTGTCCTTCGCAGTTTTTGGGGGTTATATATTGGCAGCTGAAGCAGAGTTTGCAGCCTGAAAAGAAAGGGCCCAACGATTACTTAATTTTGATGGATGATGGTTGGTTGGCGGACGATAACTTTTTCAGATTGCTTTTGAAGGTGAGTGAAGCTAATCTTGCACGATGGTGCTGGTCTATTCTTAGAAATGATGGGGAGCGGGTTTATATATGCGCATGGGACCCTTGAATTTGCCCGAGTTTTCAAAGTAGCTACAGGTTTAGGACGAGCGCGGAAGAAACAATTTTAAATCCAGGCACTAATACGGATCTTCACAGTGCCATTTTGTTGAACTTCAATCCTGTACCATCAGTCAGATGCTCTTTTGAGTATACTCTTACTTGCTCTGTACTTCTGCAGTCAAGCAGTTAAAAGAACGACATGTACTTATTGCGAGGTTTCTCTTTGTTTAGTCAATTTTACGGTTGAAAACCACTAGTCCACATGATCAGCCAGTGAAAACGTTCAGATACTTCGAACCTTATGATTAACATTATAATCGCTGATATTCACTGCTGACAATGCAGGACTTTTTAAACATGTTGAAAGATGCCACTCCCGTCAATGGCGAGCTTCTACGACAGGTATTTTCTGACCAGTTCATCATTTTCATGTTCGACATGTGCTGAAGTGGCTAATACTGGCTGCGAGCTTTGGTCCATTTTTTCATCAAAGTCAAATATAGGCTGAAACGTCACCTTTTTTCACAGGTGAAACGACTGAGAAAACTTTTTGAGACAACCTTGGGATGGATTTTTGACATGGACAGCATCGTAGGCGAAGAAGAAGACGAGGTCTGTAAGCTTGGTTTCGCACTGGTCTCCTCCCAGTTTCTATGTCAATCAGTCATTGTGATTCAAGCATGGCTGTTCACATCGTATGTTTACTACAACGCTGTGCCAGTTCACCTCTAAACTCGTAACAACGTTGTCCATGTCCATTCTGTGATTTGCAGTACGCACCTGTCATTGTATATGATGAAGATAGCGCAATGAGGGAGTCAACTTACGCCTGATCACCAACACCGGAGGAGCTGCGAATGGAACCCGGAGACTTGGCCTGGATATCGCCCTTTTGGCAGGTCCTCCATGTCCCCAAGACATATACACCTCGTAGACCCTGAATCTGTCTTCATATGTTTTTATGTCAAGATGCATCGGTTGAATCTGTTGAAAGGATAGTGCACATTGCGTCTCGTATATACGAATATGGAACTACGTAACGCTGTGCCGTAGGTGTCAGTAGGCATGTTGTATGTGGTTCCTGCTCCAAAGAATCACCAGGACTCTATCCAGTTGCTCTCCGGCTTGAACTAAAGAGAGCTACTCACGTTTTTGGCCTGTTTCTAGCATCTTGTTTCTGAACAAATAGATCATTCACCTACATCTTTATAAAGCACATTTTTCGAGCATGTCTCGGGACCATTTGGGAAATTTGTCACTGTATTTTCCGAAAGCCGGGTCTTCAACACCCTAGGCACAACAAATATGAAATGGAGGAAAATATTACCAATGGAAGAAAAGAACAAGGACTATGCAAAGAACCTCCATAGCAAGAACCATATTATCATCATAGATCAATTCAGTGGGGCTGAAAACTTCATGTCCATTATGGGACCATTAGCCCGAGTATGATACAGAAACATGGTGGATGAAACTGCCGACCATTCATCATCAGCCTGTCCTGCACTTTGTCACGCCGATGGCAATCGCTACTATTTCGCTGTGTTCCATTCTACGCTTTTAATCGAGTTCACTGTAGCGAGTTGGTCCATAACAGAAATGATTCAGTATGCAGCAGTGAAACTTGCCACATTAATAGGTGGACACAAAAAATACATAGACAAAATACGCCTGACGATTGGTGGTCAGAAATTCACGAGAATCGCAAGGCTAGCCAACAGTACTACGGAGTCCCTTTCATTATAATCATGATAGTAACACTTGAGTTTACTTCACAGCAAAGTTGATACTGGGATTGATCGACACATACGGAATGCTCCCGTTTATTTCAAATACTCACAGGTATAATATGAATGGCGAAACACAACTAATTGAACCTTATCAGAGTTTCCACTCAAGCTTCCGCGACTTTTTTTAGTCTGCAGTGTCATTGAGTTAAAAAGGTCAGTTTCTTCAACAAGTTTGTGTAGAGCTACTTGATCCAATCAAGTGAACCTATCAATATCTTCACCATTGTAATAAAAGTTTAAGATATAATCTCGACTCTCCCATTTAGATAAGCTCGATAAATAGTTCACTCATTCTATAGAATACTTGACTGCTTGGCTTTTCCCACCAGAGTGGCTTTGGTTGAAGCTTTGGTGTTTCTTGGATTCATGGATCTTTTAATCCTTGGTACTACATTAAGTAAATCAAGTCTTGTGGCGTTGCAAACACGAGTATCCCATGGCTTCTTGAAAACGTATTGCTCTTCTGAAATGTTTGTCTTCTGCAAAGGACATGCTTGAACTTTTTCTTTTTCAGTTGATGTATTCAACGCATGGGCATTTTATTATCCAAATCTTTTCAAGATATATATACATATCTGCTTTGACAAAGTAATAATCTGTACCTAGAATCTTACATATAAATATGCAACTCTGTAAGTGCCGTCAAAGATACTTGGAAGATACTTCAAAGCGTCTTCTAAAATCGACTTGTCTTTGACACACATCTATCCATAATCCACAAATTTGGTTGCGGTGAGGCTTCTCTTTCCGTATGTAGGACAAAGTAGGAACAATTTGAATGATTGCTTCGATCCATATAGATCATTGGTCAGCTTACAAATAAGCTGTTCCTCCAATTTTCGTAGACCGTGCGATTGCTCCATAAAGATATCTGCGAACTCAACATTCAAGATCCCAGTCTTGATATCGAATTGAATGATTTCCATGATTTCTACCCGTTTTATAGGCAGGGAAACTTGAGGTTGTTGAGAAAGATCATCATAAAAAAAAGAGTTTGTTGCTTACAATACATAAAGTAGTTTGAACATTATAGAGTTGGGCTCCTTGCAAGACTGCAGGCAAGCAACCCCGACCTTATGCTCGGGGGTTGACGGCATACGATGACCTTCGTGACGGTGTCACCGTTCACCGGTACAGCGATTAACTTGTAGTCAATGCACCCTGGTTAGTCGATGTGAACAAGTGTCGACTATCACATTAATCCTGCTGCTGCTCTGGCTTCGTTGTCCTTTCGCATCATACATTCTGTGCACATCAGGCCACTCGGGCCTCGATTTTGACTCGCCCTCGCGCTATCCGAGAGTACTTGCAGATGATCGTCATCTTATGGAACCATTACAGGCAGAAAAGGAAAAGTCACGCAGTCTCCATGAGCCCAACTGCGATTATGACATTATTTCAATTCTTAAGGGGCGTTCGACAATCGTTCCAGTGCAGAAACGGAGAACATGGTCCCATAGCGCAGACAGAGCTTGAAAACACTTAGAAGGCAACTTCAAGGTCTGCCAGAATTTCAGATCCACGGGCGGTTACCGTTTTGTGAATTTGTTTAGATTCTTTCTATGTGATTTGCGGTTTGTGATATGTGATTTGCCACTGTTGAAGAGCAATTGGACCAACCGATCACCATTTGGACCACCAGATCACATTATCCTCCCTTCAGTCCCGCACTGGAGCTCTCCCACAACTCATTTAACTCAATGATGACAGTCTTCCTGTTGTGAAATAAAATCATGAGAGAGTCGCAAACTCAAAGATGTACACTGCTCATGAAAGCCATGTGATTTACGAGTTAAAGCGGTTGAGTACAAAAAAAATGTTCCCCTCACCACAATTGCAAATATTTGATTTAGTCGACAGTGAAATCAGCAAAAATATCCTAATATTTGTAAGGGGCAAAACAGAGGTAAGATCCGATAACGTCATATGCCAAGAAACCTATAATACATCTTTAGAGATCACGGAACTGAAGAAGAGCGTTAGACTCTCCCTAACGAATTCATAAGGGGCTCTATGTTTTAAAACTTACGCAATGCAATATGAGGTGCATTATCTACACGCTATATAACAGAATTCCCAAGTTACATGTAAATAATCTACCAGATGCACTCAGTCAAAGGAGCCCTTGGGTGATGTACTACTGCCAATAGTGCATTCATTGGAAGAAAAACAATAACACTTCCAAAATTTGTTATGTACTTTTTTATTTGCTTAATTTTCTCGTGTTTATCATTCAGGCCTCAATACTAGCTTGTTTGCTTCACTATCTGCTGGAAATAGACATTCTCAGATTTTTTTAGTATACCTAGGTATACATTTGCAAACTTCTGATACATCTCCACGGATGTGAAATGATGAACAGAACTCCCAGTGATGTATTTAGGACTTTTACTTCTTGAACAAGCTTATCGTGTCTTCATGGGCACATTTCACCTACCGAGGACTATTTACATCGTACTTAATTGCCCAGTCATGTACCATCCCAGGAAAGATCTTGAAGGAGCTTGCCTCTTGAGCCATGTAAACGCAATTAAGACTCACTTTTTGGATACAATCGCAAATAAAGATCCAAAGTGTGCAGGATACTCAACCGAAAGACTAATTGAGCTAAATAGAGAAGGATGGTTGGTTACATAATATAGATTTGGCTTCCTTGTCTGCAGCAGGGCTTTGAGCCCTGTAATGACAGACAAATACCAAAATGGAGCATAATGGTACAGATCCGATCCCACGAGGACAAAACAACCACAAAAGTCACGATTTGTCACAGAATAGCATTCTATTAAGGAGTTTAACTTCTCAGGCCAATGCCACTCCCAGAAGACATTACCCAGCTAGAGCCGAAGACCCGCAGAGTAGTGCATAACCACACTCACAGCCTGAAACTTTTCCAATCAACACCTGTAGGAATCGTTTGCGACCCCACACTCATATTTCAGGGGGAAAACTTCCCAGCATCGCATACAGCCCGACACACTGACCCAAATACTCAGACTTGAACTTGCTGAAATCCCAAGGAGCCCTCAGCTACTCAGAACATTCAAGCCGAATACACACAACTCCTGATGCGGTAACTTCGACAAACAGGAGCGCACTGTGCCCAATGTCTGGATCATACACCAGCACACAGGCACACAATGGATGTAGGTTTATAGTCAAGACAAGCCAATTGACACAAAAGCCCCCCCAAGGAAAGAGCATTGAGTCTCTTTATTCACAATGGCAACTCTGAAATATCAACCGCTTGAGGCGAATCGGTCTTAGGGGCTATGCCGTCCGATGTAGCGGTTACGGTGTCATCTGAACTTACATCTACTCCTAGCCTACGCAACACATTTACAATCTCTACTTCTACATTCTGGCGTGCCTCATTCAATCCCTCAACTCCATTCAACTCATCATTCAATGAAAATGTTTTAACTAATTCTACAATCTGTTTGTGTCCTGCGGATCCGCTGGTCTTGGCGCTCATCAACCGCCACTCAAGTGAATCTAGCTTCAACCACTTCACCCTTTGCAATCCCCACATCGCAAACCAGTTCAGACATTTCTCCAAACGCAACTTCAACTCGTCGGTTGACTTGTCATGTAGCTGACGGTAGGCCTCCTCTGCCTTTTCCATTCTCCTTTGTGACTCCTGCGATCTCATGTCCGCCTTGCCTAACTGCTCCCGCAACCGTTGACATTCCGATTCAACCTTCAATTTACATTCGACCTCCGAAGTCTTGGCCGATTCACAATCCGCCAATTGCTTGGCCCAATTCGCTAACTCCTCCTCATGCTTTCGGACTCCCTCCGTCAAACTTGCTGATATCTCCTCCGCACGTCGGAATTCCGCCTTGCATTTACCATCAATCTCCAAAATCTTGCTATGAAGATCTTCTTCCGTCGTCTCCGCCTCTGCGATTTTGCCCCGAAGTTCTTTGGCGATACGAACTTCTTCGGCTCTTCGAGCCTCCAATGTAGCAAGTTCTTTGATATGTTTCTTCTCTCACCTCTCCAGAGTTGTGATCAGCCGCTCCGATCGTTTGACTGCCTCATCATACGCTTCTCTAGATTTCTCCAACCTCGTGAGCAAATCCGCTGTCATCTTTTGTCCATTCTCATTAAGGACACGAAGTACTCCACATGTTTCTTCTAACTCTGCACACCTTCCGGATTCCTTTGCTAGATTCAATTGCAGCACTTCACACTCGATCTCCTTCTCCCGAAGCAGGGCTTCTCGCTCCTGCAATGTCGCCTTTACTGCCGCGCACTCGGTTGCCAAGTTTGCCGCTCGCTCCCGTGCCAATTCAGTCGCGGAATCCCACTCCCTCTTTACAGCTACTGCTCTCTTGAGCTTCGTCCTGTTCCTCACCATCTGCACATAGAATCCTGCCTCCTTCGACACAGCATACTTCTCTCTCTTCCCGTCCAAATACTTCAGTAATGGAACCACACTATCCTGCAAGAAGTCA